TTGGGCATCATCTGAGAATTACAACAGCCTGGCAGATAACACTTTCCTTAAGAATTCTCCAAGAGGCCAAGTCAGAAATATCCCCCACCCAGGTTCCTGAAATGGAACCAAATTCCATGATAACAGCTAACTCATACCAGACACCATGTATAAGGCAAACAGGCAGAGCGTCAGGAAGTCATTTCTCTTGCCACATTCATCTGCCCGTGTCACCAGAGGCTGCTTCAACTTGAAATATGGAGGCCAGAAAGAGCCCCGAGATAGGAAAAGTCACCATCCTTGGAGACAAGAGGTGGCTGGCGAGGCCTAGCTCCATGCATCTCACCCGCGGACTCAGGAAGGGTGCAGTGCCTAATTCTCAGACTTCTCTCAAATCACCTCCTGGCCTGAAATGTTCTACCCGAGACTCATGAACAGGCAGACGGCTAAAAGAAAACCTCCAAGCATAGGCATACGGGAGAGAGCACACAGGCTCCATTTTTGAAATTCCAAATTTTGGCTTTTAAGTCTCATACATACTTTATTCTAATCCTGAATGTAAGCACCAAAAATTGAAGAAAGCCCCACTGCAGTCTTAGGACAGTGGGGAGACACTTCCTCCCTCCCGCTTCTGCACTTTGGAGTCTACTAAGGACTGATGATTTCAGGGAGCATGTACACACACCCAGCATGCTTCTCAACCTGCCAGGTCTGGGACTTGAACCAGTCGGCCATGTGAGATCCAGCTGCTTTAACCACCAGGTCGTAAGCTGGCCCCATGGTGATTTAAATAAAATCTCTATTTATTGTCAAATTTCTTTTTTAACAACTCGGTCTAGGGTTCTGGATATACAATAGAACAGAGAGGCCCATCTTGGCGGGAACAAGACCTCACTGAGATCCCTTCATCAGGGCCTCTTTGGTCTTCTATCACACAAACTCAGGACTCTGAATTCTGTCAAGTCTTTTTGTGGATTCTATCAAGCCAAAGATCATGAGATTCTCTATGCCACTTCAGAAGAAGGTAAACACACAAATGGTTTTTTAATAAAAACTAGGTCTATTCCCTGCCTCTCCCCGGCCCTCCAGCGGTTATCACTTGGCAGGCCTATTCCAGGGCACACTGCCTGTGTTCTGCTGACCTCAAGGTTAATTCGAAGCTTAAGCATACTGCCCTCTAACACCCCTATAGAGAACCACGTAACCACACTGTGAAGGAGAGGAAGAG